GGTGGTGATACCCGCCCTTAATCCCAGCCCTCGGGAGGCCGAGGCAGGAGGATCTCTGAGTTTGAGGTTAGTCTGGTCTAAAAAACAAGTTCCAGGACAGGCAGGGCTGTTATACAGAGCAGCCCTGTCTCAAAAAACCAAAAAAAAAGAGGATATGAGGCAGAGAAGAGAGATATATTGGGGAGTTTGAGGAAGGAAGGGGATAGATAGACTCAATATACATTGTATACATGTATGAAATTGTCCAAGAATATAAGTAAAAAAATTGTACATATATGTATAAATTATATACACGATGTATGTATTATATAAATTATTATAAGCACACATATTATATATAATATATTAAAATACATACTATATAATATATAAATAATATATCACTTTTTTAATGGCCTGATGGCAAGCTGAGACAGAAGGAGGGAAAATTCAAGGCCAGCCTGAGCAACTTAGTGTGACCCTGTCTCAAAATAAAAAGTCACCGTAAGGTAAGCATTTTGCCTATCATGTTTGAGGCCCTAGGTATAATCCCGTGAGCTGGAAAACAAAAGACAATCATGGAATGCTGTGTCCAGCCCTCTCTGGCAACAGTGGACACCGTTTAGTAACGGCAGTTCCTGAAGGGGAACCCTGGGTCCATTGAAAGCTTTGGGGGCAGGAAGCTCCAGAGAGGTGTGTCTGCGGTCGGAGGCAGAGGGAAGATGCTCCTCCCTCCACAGCACAACAGCCACATTTCTTGGGTTTTCTGGGATGAGCAGGGGACAGCTGGCAAGCTGGGTCAGGGTACTCGGAATAGCAGATCTGGTGCCACTTTGCCGAGAAAAGCTCCAGGAGACTCACTTAAAGAGACCGTTAACCTTGCAATGACCTCCGGAGACAGGATTGAGCATGCCATCAAGAACCCACACACACCCCATACCCATAAACAGCACCTCACCTACCTTTTTCTATGCCCCCACAGAGCCATGGAATGTGACCTCCAGTACGTGTGTGTGTGTGTGTGTGTGTGTGTGTGTGTGTGTGTGTGTGTGTGTTCGGGAGAATGAAAGACGAGGGGCTAGGATGAGGCAGGAAGAGAGGCTGGATGCATATGCGACTAGGACCACAGAATTTGAACAGCCTCCCCAGCCTCCCACCTAGGGAATTCTGATGTGAGACTCACGAGCCAAAAGATGCGGGACTGAGCTAGGGATGCAGCTCAGTGGTAGAGAGCCTGCCTAGGGCGCATGAGGAGCTGGGTTGGATCCCCATTGCTTAAACCAAACAGAAGAGAGATAGTTAAGTCTACGAGTAGAGGAAAGCTGCATTTAAGTTGTTTATGAAAATCAACAGAGGTGCAGGACGAACGTAGCCGCTACGCTTGACTGTCCAGGCTGGGCACTGCACAAGAGCATTGTAAGCAAGGGGATGCCATTCAGTGCAGGCACTACAGCGGGACGTTTATTACAGCCTTTGATGACGAACTAGGAACAGAGGCATCCTTTCCTAATTCACAGAAGGACTTGCACAGGTGAGCTGTGGCCCTCAGGGCAACAGGACTCCTGATTTCTTTTTATATTTACAAAACTCAAAATCTGTTGGCTGTGGCCCATTTTTACACGTCATGGTGAGGCAACTATAAATGAGAGACGATGAATCCAAACCCATACAAGACACTAAACACAGCTGCCTGGACCTGCTGCACCTACTACAAAGGTCCAAGCTGGGAGGGGATGGGGGAGGGGGTAAACTATGCCCTTCCCTTGTAGAGGGGCACTGAGTATTGTCTGTCTGCTCCGGCCAAGCCTGCAGAGTGCGGCCTTAAACAACAGATAGAATTCCACATGGTTTCCGGCTGGAGAGGCCAACGTCAAGGTGGTAGATGATTCACGCCTGCTGAGGTCTTGCTGAGCTACAGAGGGCTCTCCTTGGAGAGAAGGAACAAGCTCTCTGGTCTCTTCTTGTGGGGGTTACTCATCCTTTCATGGGGACATGACTCTCGTGACCTTCTTTGAACTTAATGGCCCCCCCACAACGGCCCTTCTCTGGCACTAATTTATGGTGAAGGGGTGTCAGGGATTCAGTGTGAACTTCAGAGGAGGCACAGCATTCGGTCATTAATGCAAACACGAGGCCATTGGGAGCTGATGCCCATCCTGAGCATACGCCCGACCAGACACGGGGTGGCCACCAGCTGGCAAGGCCTCAGTGGGTATGGGGGAACTTCCTTCTCCAGCTTCCACCAAGTCCTCTGCAGTGGTCATCAGGGCACAGCAGTCCCTGGCATGCCTCCTGCATGGCTGGGTATCCAAGTATCCCCACCCAGGCTCTGGGGCCTCAAATCATCCAGCTGTGGTCCATGGTCTCGGGCAGGTTCTCAGAGGCTCAGGAGAGGATGAGACGGGATGAAACATCTGTCCAAGCAAAGTCAGAGCAACTTGCCCCCACCAAGCCATCTGAATGCCTGCCTGTCACATTCCAGGACTCTCCTCAGGGCTCCTGGCAAAGGTACAGCAAGACCCTTGGGGAACTTCAGACTCCAGCTCTGTTCTTAAACTAAAGGCCAATCACGGGGAAATAAAGTATTGAGCCAACTATGGCTCAGAGGGTAAGAGTTCTCACAGCACAAGCCCGATGACCCGAGTTCAATCCCCGGAATCTGCAGTGGAAAGAGAGAGATGGCTCTGGAGAGCTGACCTCTGACCTCTGCACATGGGCCGTGGCACATGGGCACACACACACCTATATCATATCCATACACGTGTAGTAACAGTCATAAACGAAAATTTTAGAGGAGAGACTGTCCACTGTCCTAGCAGGGACCCACTTGTCAAAGGCTGGGGTTTATCTGGGACACTGAGAGCTCTTTCATGGAATGCCATCGTTTTCCAACCTCGGATTGAAGGGAAGGTGAGTGACGCCAAGAAGCAAAGGGTTTGAACCAGACCAAGGGGAAACCGCGGCTTCCAGAACAACTACCCTGGAGCCCAGGCCTAGGGCAGCAGAGAAGTAACAGCACGGGCTGGTGAGCGGCACTCCAGGAAGGGAAGAGCAGGTGGAGAGGAAAACCTCAGCCCACAGCCTGCACACAGGGTGGAGCTGAGAAAGCAGAGAGCCGGGGGGAAGCAGGACCTCCAGGCCAAGGAAAACGGGCAAGAAGAAAAGCTGGGTACACATCACCCTGGTGACCAGGGAGGCGCTGGAAGTACGGTGTGGCCACCGCTCTGCAAAGACCGGCGTGCATGAAGATGAGAAGCGGTCCCAAATGCTGGCACGGGTGGAGGGTGATGGGAACCCACGCTGGCCGCAAGCGAGTTACCCGTGGGCCTCCACCTGGACCCTGATTGGCTTTCTCTAACAAAGCTCAAGACGTGTGCACCCCGTGCCAGCCACGCCAGTCCTGGGTGTCCACCCACATGATCCAGGGGAAAGGGGGGGTGGGGAGAATGTTCACAGCAGCTATGATTCACCCATCCAAATGTTCACCCTTCACGTGACCCCGCAGTGAAAACAAATGATGGGATTCAGTACCAAGGATGACCAACAGCAGCGAGGTTAGAGGAGGAAGCCAGGCCCCCAAAGACAACTGGCTATGACGCCGTTTACCAAGCACTAGAAGGAAGGCAAGCGTGAACTGGGTCCTCGGGAATGCACACATAAGTGGTACGGCTTTGTAATAAAATAAGGAGGCCCTAGAAGGCGGGTGAGCCCTAGTAGGGAGGTGGCTGTGAGAAGGACATGGAAAGGTCCCATGGTTTGGGGACCTGTGATGTCTGTCTTGATGTGGGCAGTGGCCCCATGAGCATTCACTTTGTTGCTGTTCCTGAACCTGTTTGTGGACCTCATAAACAGGACACCTTTCCGTCTGCAGTGATGGTGGCCCTGGGGATGATGGGAAGTTATTGCTGCCTTCAGAGGCAGGTCTCTTCAGAGCCCAGGCTGATGTCCTCCTGTCCTGTTATCCTCCACCACATTGCCCCCTGCTTCAAATCTGCCGTTCTCCAGACTGAACTTCAACCAGCGAAGGGAACAGTATAGAACTTGCCCAACTCAAAACATCCCCACCTGGGGCCACCTTCCCCACCTGGGGCCAGGTGCCGGTATGGTCTACGACTACCTCACTGATTCTGAGACCTGTTAACCCTCCCGCTTCTGAGAAAGAACCAACCTTCTGAGAGTCAGGCAGAGTGGCACACACCTGTGTTCATAGCACTCTAGTAGAGGCAGGGACACTAGAAGTTCAAGGTCATCCTCAGTCTCATAACAAGTTTGAGGCTAGCCTGGACTACATGAGAGACCCTGCCTCAAAAAAAAGACAAGAGAAAAATAAACAAAATCACCCTTCCAGATCCCCTATCCATGCGGGCCTCGTTCTTGAAGGGTGACAAGCAGAACCACAGTGTTGAGAGACCAAGATCAGTCTAGCAAGAAAGGAGCTGATCTCCACCCTTACGATGCCATCAAAATGAGAAGGTCCGTACTGCCCATGGGCTAGCCTTGTCTCCACTCTCAAAAGCAGGGTCAGGAGAGGCTTAACATACAAAGAAACCGAGGCTCTGAAAGGCCAAGCCAAAGCCCTGGACGTCCAGCACGTGTGTCTGGTGTTCGAATTCAAACTCAGCAGAACGGTTCCCAAACCCTCACGGTAACCTGGCGCCCTGGTCCCCGAGCTCAGCGTTGTCCCCACCCCACTGCTGGCACCGTCCTTCTCGGCACCCCCAGGGATTCCAGCCCAGAAGAGAACCACCCACTACCTAAGGTCGTGACCCTGGAGACAGACGGCAACAGCCCAGGGCAGCCCTGCTTCCTATCAGTCAGCCAGCAGCAAGTCTGGCCGGGCTCATTCAGAGAAACCCAGGGAGGGACAAGGACCTCCCACAGTCACACAGCTTCCCTTTCCCCTCATGGCATGGCAGGCGCTGTGCTTGCTCCAGGTCAGGGTCTGCCCCTCCCTTCCAAGGACTTCAGAAGCTCAGTCCTCCCCTCCCGACAGCTCCGTGGTGAGCACCATCATCTCTCACCTCTCCATCCAGAGGCCAAACCCCTGTCAGCGGAGGAATCCAGGGTCCTTATCTCTCTGGAGACGATGCTGTCCCTGCATCGAGGGAGGCAGGGTCGGGGTGGGGGGCACCCACCACCTGCCCTGGCCCAGCTTAGGGGCGCCGGGCCACGGCCTCCCGTCCAAGCAGGCTCAAGGCGGCCACAGCCGAGACCCGGCACACTCCTGCTCTCCGCCAGGCTCCTCTTGAATAAACACCGCTGCGTGGCAACCGCTCTCTGAAGGAGTCCAAGTCCCTGTGTGGGGGGAGAGACGGAGCTGAGACTTTTCCCCTCGGTCCCCCGGTGGCTCCCCCGGGTGCTGGGCATGCCCCAGCGGCCAACCTGCCTTCTAGGCCCCTGGGGAGTGGGGGGGAGGGGGTGTGGCACACAAGCATGCCAGAGCCAGCTGCGCTCCACCGGGTGGTGGCCCCATCCAGGAGTGTTAGAGCAGACGGAGGCAGGGACCCTAGGCAGGTGAGCCTGTGCGCACGGCCTCCACAGGCAGAGAGAAGCCAAGTAGGGCAGGCAGCAGGCAGAGCCCACAGCTCTGACCCTGATTCTGCTGTTGCCGTCTCGTGCCCTCTGACCAGGACTTAATCCTTGCTCAGCCTCAGTTTTCCCGTCTATAAAATGGGTTTAAAATACTGCTCGCTCAGTAGAGTTGATGTCAGGATTAAATAGCTACGGGGGGGAGGGGGGGAGCGGAGCATGGGATTTGTTTAGATTTATAATGAAGTAGGCCCTGGGGAGATATTTACATAGCAGAAAGCCTATTGCGGTCTCCTCCCCAGCCACATTCCCCTGCCAACATTTGGGAAATAGGAAGTCTGTGTGCGCTTCCTCACTGCGGCCCTCAGACCGCTGCTCCTGCCCCTTGCCTGGCCCGCTTCTAACCCTCAACAGCCCACCTCCCAAGGCACGCAGGGGAGGGGCGGAGGCCGCCTACAGCTTTTCAAAGAGCCGCTCGCCCAAAGACCGAGGATTTTTTTTTTAGGCGGCCCCTCCAAGTTCTCAGACAGGAGTCAGCTTGGCAGACCCAGGAACGCAGAGCGGGCAGGGGGTCTGGAGTAGGCTGCCTCGCCTCCAAGAAGCCGAGGTGCGGAATGGCTTTCATGCAATGCAACGTTTTCCTCCCCGTGGCCCGGGGGTGGAGGGAGAGGTGGGGGGGACCCTGGATCCTTTCTAAGGAGCAGCTTCCCGAGCAGCTCCAAGAGCGGCTTGCCAGAGAGAACGGAGAACTGGATCGACCTGCAGAGAGCGCTGGTCCCGCCAGGGGGCGCCCAGCGGGCCTCCTCTAAGCGAGCCCCTAGAGGAAGCCCAATTCCAAATTCCCGGGGTGAGGGAGGTAGGCTTGAGTCAAAGCCGACAGCTTTCTGAGGGGAGCAATTGACTCCATCAGGGTGGCAGCCTCAAGTGCTGAGAGGAGAATGTGGTGACTGGCATGGAGCCTGGCACGTCCTCCTCCTTGCGCTGATAACCCAATCTGACCCACGCGAACCCAGATGGCATCTTCGGTGTGGACTTGAGTGAACCTTTCCCAACACAGAAAAGAGCTACTCCCCGAGTAAGGCGGCCAGCAAGTGAGTCAGACTTGACCCGCATGGACCAGAGTCTGGGGCCAGGTGCAAAGGGAAATAATGCCACACCTACTGAAGACCCACTTCTCAGCGCACCAGGGACGGATGTCAGCAAGCCACAGCCATCCAACGGGCATGCCATAATCAGGGCTCAGGAAGTTAGAACCCAAGAAAGAATGCTGAAAGCAACTGGCGAGGAAAGGTCGTTGTCTATAAAGGACCGTGGTATGAACAATAGTGAGTTTCCCATCAGAAACTAGGCAGGCCCACAGAGGGGCTCCAGAACACAGAGTAGCAAGCCATGACGGCCCAAGGCTCCCGGAGCTTGGAGTGGAAGACAGTCAACTCCTTAACACACAGCTCTAACTCAGCATTCAAAGGGAAGATCCAGTCCCACCACCACCACCATCACCACCACCACCACCACACACCCTTAGAGACACTTAATAAGCCAATAACCTTCTAGAAAATTCACTATAGGTCTCGGCTCTTCCCACATCAACCCTCACCCATCGATTCTGGAATATGAAGGAAATGGGAGACACCATCCCCTGAACTCCAGGTAACTCCAGGTATGTTCTCTTCCAGCTAGGCTTGAGTCACGTCATGCCCTTGGTCAAGCCTGCCCAGGACCAGTGCTCCAGCCCAGCGGTTCCCCGGCAGAGTTTTGCAGAACAAATGTGAATGCGAACATAGAAGTTTCTACAGAGAAGGAAGCATAGACCACATGGGCGTAAATGTCCCACCGTGATTGTTTCTCACGGCTCAGAGCCTTCAGTGTGCTCTAGGAACTGGGGGGGGGGGGGAGAGCTGAGCTCCAATAGGGTTGGAGCATGAAACAACTTCCAAATCCATACGATTATGGGGACGAGTTTGTGCATGAAAGGTTTCTGAAGATCAGAGTTTCAAAGAACGCTTGTGAATCTCAGCTCTCATACATTTCAAAGTTTTCAAGGCAACGGGCCAGAGCTTGATGTCCACAGCCAAATAACAAATTTATATTATTCAGTTTAGATACAAATATTGTACCACTTAAGGAATTGGAAAAATCGGATCCCCAGGAAAATGTTGACATTTGTCCAGCTTTCTCTCTCTCTCTCTCTCTCTCTCTCTCTCTCTCTCTCTCTCTCTCTCTCTCTCTCTCTCTCTCTCTCTGTAGCATAAACATCCTCATTGTTACCCCCTCAAGCCACCACCAGAAGAAAGAGAAGTTCTTACCACAAGGAAAATTGCTGAAGATGTCCCCACCCCACCAACCCAATTTTAAAACTACAAACAACCACCAACACGAGTCTATTGGAGGGCCTCCCCCAAATGACCGACAAACACTCCCAGGTTCCCAGGTTACTCAGATGCTGCCTTCAGGTTCCTTTGCAAGCTGCTGGTCCCCAGTGGCTCAAGCCCTCAGCACCGGTCCCCCAGGAAAGAGATGGTGAGTGGGGATGATGAATGTACACATCTTCCAGGAGGGGACAAGCCAGGGCTGGCCAGAGGGACAGCAGCCTGATGGTTTTTTCGGCTCTGACTCAGATGGATGTGAAAGGGAAGAGAAGACTTGTTTCTCACAGTTGGCCAGGTGACAGTAACCATGGATATAAATCAATTTTGGGAACCTGTCAGTTACCAGCTGAATAGAAAAAGCACACTCTCTCGGAGCCACGGGCAGGCAGAGATGGACAGAGCAGCCCAGGCAAATGGACAACAGGCATGGATGCAACAAACCTTGTGTCTTTATAACTCACCCATCCTAAGGGATTGTGTTACAAGCAAACAGAGCAGCCAAGTCTAGAATCTGTTATGAAAAAAAGTATGTATGGGGTGCGGTGGGAGAGAAGCCCAGATGATGGGGGGGAAATAAATATTGTTAGAATTAAAAGACTAGGCATGGTTGCATACATCTGTAGGACAAGTACCTGAAAGGCTGAGACAGGAGAATAGTTTGACCACAGAGCAGCCTGGGCAACAGACCCTGTCTCAAAAAACCAAACAATAATTAATAATATTAATAATAGCCAGGCAGTGGTGGAGCACGCCTTTACTCCCAGCACTGGGGAGGCAGAGGCAGGAGGATCTCTGTGAGTTCAAGGCCAGCCTGGTCCATAGAGTGAGTTCCAGGACAGCCAGGACTACACAGAGAAACCCTGTCTCAGAAAATGATAATAATAACCTACACACAAAATCAAGTAAACAAACCTTTTCAATATACAGGGTCTGGGTGGGGGCTGAAAAGACACATATTGTTCTTGCAGAGGATCTGAGTTTGGTTCCCGGTATCCACATTGACCAGCTCACATCCACCTGCAACTCCAGCTCCAGAGGATCCAACACATCTGGCCTCCCTGGGCCCATGTACTCACGTACATATTGCCACACACAGATACACAATTTTAAAATAATAAAGATAAGTCTTTTTCTAAATAGACTGAATTAAATGTCCCTGGGACAGGAAGAAGAATCAGTTGTGGACCTGGTGCCAACCTGACTCAGTGTTCTTGGTCTAGCCTCCACCCTGTGCAGTGCTGGTTCCTGGATACATTGGGAACTGCTCTCGCTCCTCCCCAGAGCCTCCATCTGGGGTGCTCCATCCAGTCTTCGTCCTGTAGATGGAAAAATTGGTATTCATAGAAGGTAAGAAGCTTGCCAAAGGCCACAGAGGGGTTTTGGGACTGGACCAGCATACCCCAGAGCTTTCAAAATGCTCAGTTCCTTCACAGGTCAGCCCATGGCCAGCTGTGCTGGGACCAGCAGAGGACAGTTCAAGGTAAGAGCCATCAAGTTTTAATTTTTCTTTTCTTTCTCTCTCTCTCTCTTTTTCTTTTTCTTCTTCTTCTTTTTAGCAGAGTGGTGCATTTGTGTTACTTTAAAAATATAAAATATAAAGCTCTGCATTAATAAATAAAGCTCTAAACTTTTTGAAATCTGATAATCCATTTTAAAAAGCCATCTGGGCCAAGCGGTGGTGGTGGTGCGCACCTTTAATCCCAGCACTCGGGAGGTAGAGCCAGGCAGATCTCTGTGAGTTTGAGGCCAGCCTGGTCTACAGAGTGAGATCCAGGACAGGCTCCAAAACTGCACAGAGAAACCCTGTCTCGAAACTC